GTTGATTGGAAAAAATTAGCAAAGAGGTTAGCAGAATCAGAGTCATTGCTAGCTTTATCCATCCCGAGAGAAAAAGAAGATGGCAAACTTGCAGATGTACGCTTCAGGTTTACAAAATTGTAAAACTATCTCGGATTTTTGGCAAATTGCCTTTTGCAACGAGTGAGATAATTCTCATAGCATTGAGAATTCAGAAGAAAGAAGATCGACTTGGCTATGGAATATTTAGCCAAGTCTGTACTCAAACCAGACTTATTAAACTTTTAAAAATATTTAGATTTTATATTTTTTAGGTTTGATAATCTGGGAGTGAACCAGGGTGGCTTTGAAGAAGCAGTCGAAGCAATATAATTGGGAATACCCAGATATATAATACAGCTGGTATAGGAAAGATCGGTGGAAGAGTAGGATCTGCTAATCAAAATATTCTGTTTTTAAAAGATATTTCAACAAACTCAGCATTTTCGAGCTCCACTATTCTAACATATCTTCAAAAGGGAAATGCCTACAAGGGGATAAAATCTTCATCATGCCGAAGATATCCCTTATTTCTCGGCTTAAATTATTTTGATGACTGCGGAAGCAAGCGAGCTCGTAGCGAGAGCTGCATTTGGTGTTGGTAGAAGAGGGTTCAGGGTCGGGATCTCCCGAATTGAGCCTTTTGCTTGTTTCACTTATTGTTGGGAAAAAACCATTTATAAAGACACCAATGGAATATGCTTGCGAGCAATTTTCAAATAATTATAAGAATGTTTGAGGAAGGTTTATTGCGTAGGCCTGTTGATATGGCTTAAGATAAAATCCCTTGCCTAATGCAATGCACGGTTGGACTCTCTCCCAAGCCTTAGTAGATAAATTTATATTAGCTTTGTGCCGTTTAGTTAATTTTTTTTTTCCTAATATGCTATGTCGTGCTCCCTGAATGCTGTGTCTAATGGATAAATGCCTTTATCACCCCGCTGTAGGCGCTCTTTTAGTTTCGTGCCTGGTCCACTGAAATGAAAGTTAGGTAAGTGGAATTCAATCGGAAGGCCATTAATTATTTTATTAACAATCCGACCTCCACAATAGGCGTTTGGCTTACGTATGAATCTTTTATGATAGGCATAGGCAAATAAGCATTTTAAATTATAATTGATACTTAATCGCTGATGGTATATCAATTAATGATATTCATTCGCGAGAATAAAATCAGAAGCAAAAAAAAAACACAAAGTTGGACAATTTAGATTTTTCACCCAAACAGGGCCTTTGCTCAGGGAAGTAGAATAGTGCATAATAGCTATTGAATGTGAATTGAATGTCCTTCCCTGTAAAAGTAGTATGCGGTATGATTTGTTTGAAGTACTTCCTCCCCACTCTAAACCCTCCATCCTAGCAAATTAACAAATGTGTTTTAACTTGCTGGCCCTGGTGACACTTAGATTTGTACCCCGGCCAGTAGCTCCTTTACAAGTGGCGTCCGAGCATGTGCAAAGAGGCTTTTAGGAGCGTGGCATGTTTGCGGATGAAAGCCCCGCAAGTATGCCCAAATAAGTGTTTTCCAAAAAAAATCAGATGTATTAAGTAACCCAGGGTATTTTTAGTTGGGCATACCCTAGAGTGTATGTACCCTCGCAGGAGATAAGGAGAAAGTAATATATATCATACATGGGCAAAATATAAATCTAGGGTATTAAGTAATCGGTCATACCCTAGTAGGTGCATTTTATACCCTGTGTTAAGCGAAAAAGTGAACACCTGCAAGAGTTTCTCAAATGTGTGCGGAATAAAACGTACAAAACGGAGAGAAAGGGGAACGGTCGGTCAAAAAAAGTACAGCGCTCGCGCGGCAGACAGGCGACGTCGAAGCCACGCTTGCACAGCTGCGCATCGCAATCGACGTTGGCGTCAAAGAGCCGTTAAGGCATTGTGGCAGCGGCTGTACAGTGGGACGAATTCAGCTCACGCGTGGAGAAAAACTGAATTCGTCAGTACAGTTGGCGCAAGCCATAATAATAAAGAAATCGAAGTGAACAATAAGAAGTGAATGACGACTAAATATACAATGAACAGCAAGTCCGTTTTATTTTAATTGCTTTTTATTTATTTTTGTGGAGTGGAAAAAAAAAGAAAGAAAAGACAGACAGAAAAAATTAAATAAAAAAATTTAAGTGAGATAAATGAAACTCCGGAACGAGAATTGCCCACCCACCAACCAGAAGAAACGAGCCAGAGGCCACAAAGGAGAGGTCGACGCGGAAACCTAGAGTGAGTGATAAAATCCTTAAATGGAGTCAGGTGAGTGCCAAAATCCAGGGGTAGGCGTACTCTGGATCCACTAGCGGCGCAAGGAGGTACTAGTGGCGAACGCCCATGATTTTGGGCTGGAGAAAGAAGGGCGCGTGGAGGAGTTTTGTAACCGGCTTTCCGAGTTACAATCCCAGTGTGCAAAAACGTTAGAGTCGCCATCCTGGGGCGTCCCACCCCTCCCCGCCGGCTGCGCGTGGGGGAGGAATTCAAGGAATATCTGATAGAGCTGATGTATTGTATCTGCTTGTATCGGCTTGTATCTGCCGTATCTTGGCCATCAGATGATGAGCCAAGAGGCCGGAACCGGGTAGGATCCGCGGCGCGCATGTCATAGGTGCGTGCAGAAGGGGAATGTGACCACTGAAAGTGGATGGTGGCCGAATCGTCGCTACGGTCGAGATTGGCGGGCGAACGATGACTGCAACAATCAACACCGGAGCCACTCGCAGATCCATGAGTGAAGATTGCGTACGCAAGTGGGCGATTCGGAGAAGAGCAGAGGACGTGCAGACGCGCATTCGTCTGGCAGATGGGTCCAATCTAGAAGTAGGGAAGGCATTGTGGTAAGACGTTGACCTAGCGGGGAAAAAATCAGTATGTCGATGCTCATCATGCCCTCGATGCTAGACCACGACATCCTGGGGATGAATTACTTGTGTGCAATGGGCACTACAATGCGCTACGGCAAGGCAGAACTGGTTTTAGAGACGGTGGCGTCACTGTCCGCGGGGCCTGGGATGAGCGAAGAACCGAAGGAAGACTTCCCATGTCAGAAAAAGGAAGCCCCTGCTCGGCAACGGAAGATAGAAGACGCCAAGAAGAAACCGAAGGAAGGCCTCCCACGTCAGGCAAAGGGGGCACCTGCTCGGAAACCGGTTGAAGAGGACACGAAACGGCAACTGACAGATGGGTTCCCACGCCAGGGAAAAGGAACGCTTGCTCGGCAATCAAAGGGAATGGACACGAAAGAGGGAGCGAAGAAGGGGCCTCACTTTGGATTGCTCGGAGCGCATGAGGAGCCCAAAAGGCGGCGCGTAGAGCTGCAGCGTCAGATCTACGCTGGTCATGGAGGAGGCAAGGCGAAAATGTGCCAAGAAACAGAGAAATTATGAGCAATGGCTATGATCCACGCGGACGCAGGGGATCCGGAGAAGCTGCCAGAGTGGAGCAATCATGGAGCTCCATCTAGAGTCGGAGCGGTGCACTGAAAAGGCAAGACACAGGGTGATGCCAGCCCAGAGGGGGCAGAGTGGCCAGCGGATCTAGATCCGGAACTAAGGCAGTTCCTGGAATTGGAGCTGGCACTCTTCGAGTATCTGCAGGGGGTCGCATATCGCGGAGCACAAGATCCGGCTAAAGGATGGCAAGCCATTGATCAAAGGTATTATCCGAAGAATCCGGCCATGCAGAGGGGGATCGAACAACAGGTGGTTGAGCTGATCCAAGCAGGTGCCATCGAGCCTTCGCGTAGTCCGCACAGCGCCTCAATCATCTTAGTCAAGAAGAAAACTGGCGAGTGGCGCGTGTGCATCGACTACCGGCAACTCAATGCGCATTTTATTCCAGATACTTATCCTGTCCCCCGGATTGCGTCACGCCCGGTTCATTTCTACCTTAGATTTGAAGCACGGGTATTGGGCGATACCGATGGCAGCCGATAGTAGGGAGTGCACAGCATTCACAGTCTCAGAAAGAGGCTTATTCAAATGGCGGGTGATGCCGTTTGGATTGCATTCAGCGTGTGCGAACTTCCTGCTAGCATTGGGCACGGTAATAGGTTCGGAGATGGAGCCTCATGCGTTCGCCTACCTAGACGATATCGTGGTGATAGGGGCAACGAAGGAGCAACATAACGAGAATTTAAGGGAGTTACTCCGCCGATTGCGGGCGGCCAATCTCAGGCTGAACAGGAAGAAATGCAGCTTCTTCAGGGAGAGGTTGGTCTATCTGGGACATGTCATTTGCGGGGAAGGCATAAGTACCGATCCGTAGAAGGTGGAGATGATACGTAACCTTAGGGCTCCGACTTATTGTAAGGAGTGGCGGCAGTGTCTCGAGATGGCTTCATGGTAGAGGCGTTTTGTTCCCAATTTCGCGACTCAGGGACAGCCGCTAACGGCGCTCCCAAAGAAGGGGCGGAAATGGTCATGGGGTGAGGAACAGGAGCAGAAAAACTTGACGACTGCCCCTGTGTTGGCTTGTCCGGACTTTTCCGCCAAATTCGTCTTGCAAACTGATGCGAGTGAGTATGGTCTCGGCGCAGTGCTGACGCAGACGATAGAGGGAAAAGAGCGGCTGATAGCGTACGCGAGTCGGAACTTGCTGAAATGTGAGGTGAACTATTCCGCCACCGATAATGAGTGCTACAACAGTTTCAGTTCGATGTCCACTACCGACGAGGGAAGCTCAACGTCGTGACCGATCCACTATCAAGGCATCCTCTAGAGACCTGGCAGCAGGTCGCGACTATGCGTGCCACGATCGCCGAAGATCCAACCAAATTCACGGACTACATAGAGGAAAATGGGCAATTGTATAGGCATTTGGGTCACCGGACGGACGACGAGGACTATATTTCCTGGAAGCTTTGAGTAGCCAGTTGTCAAGGGTAGAGGGTATTGCAGGAATATCATGATGCTCCCACGGCAGGGCATCAAGGCGTGAGGAAAACTGTATCAAGGTTGGCCCAGAGGTACTACTGGCCGGCTATGTTCCGTGCCGGCGCCAAGTACGTGAAGTGCTGTGAAGTCAGCCAGAAGCTCAAGAGCGAACAACTCAAGCCGGTTGGTCGCATGCTGACGATATAGGTAGCATAGCCGATGGCAGTACTCTGCGCGGATTTTGTCGGGCCCCGTCCACGGTCAAGACATGGCAACACGATGTTACTGGTGTTCCATGATGCCTTCTAAAAGTGGGTGGAACTGGGCGAACTTGCAGACGGCGTTTCGAGAGAGGACTTTGAGTAGGTTCGGGGTGCCCAAGAATCATTCCTATAGCAGCTATATGTTATAGTGGTCCAATGGTGATAGGATTTTGCGAAAACATCAGTCTCCTAGTTACTTCTAACCGAAGCTGTTCTTATTTCTCGCGACCGTAGCCACTACGCATTTTACTACTCAAATTGGTTATGGGCCAAGGCAATATTCACATATATATAATAAATAATTTTTAAATGGCGCCCCAGGTGGACTCTTTTAAAAAATAATAACTAAAGAAATCAACGCAAGTGGTTAAGAGTGGTACTAGGTGTGGCTCGCGATATAATCAAATTGAGAAGTAAAATCTATGAATCAATCTATCCTCCTGCCATCGTTGATCATTGCCAAGGAAAGTAGCATCTAAAGTGGATCGTTCGGAACAGCAGGTACTCTGCTGAAAATTGAAAGCCCAACTCTATTGGCTTGGTTGCGCTAATGAGTCGACGCTTTCAATGCTTGGCACATTTGTAAAGTAGTTGAGCATAATTTAAATTTGATTGCACTAAGTAACCGCGATGAAGATTTATATATTATTATCTGAGCGAATGTTTAATTATTTTCAAAAATTAATTGTTACTACAATTTCATTTCCCTTAGTCATTGTCGTTTCTCCCTCTTGCCATCACTCGCAACCACTGTAAATTATACAGTTGCTCGACACCATGCGCTTGTATATAACAGCAAGCCAGCTGCAGTCTGTTTATTTTCGTTCCGCTTTGTGCTAAGCGCTGGTTGTACTATTATTGTAATACTCATTTTTGATGGGGTGTTTTAGTCAAGAGACGCCCTTTTCTTTACTGATCACCCATATCAACTTTTGAAGTCGTTTAGCTATATTAATTTAAATTAATAATTGTTAAATCGAATTTATAGTCCATATGGCAACAGTTAAAAGTTTTGACGATTCAAAAAAGAATCGCAATATGTCCATTAAAAGTATAATGCGTTTAAATGATCTAATAAAAAAGCGTAAATTAAACCTAGAATCTACAGAGTTAGAATATAGATTAGAAATGCTGGCCTCACATATAGATACAGCGTTAAAATATCAGACTTTTGACCCAGATGATGATTATCGTGTCAAGTACGAAGAACTTTCTATAACGAAAAAAGATCGTTTAAAGTCCATTATAAAGTCATTAAGTCCTGCAACAACTGCAGTCATTGCCGTTTCGGCTACACGCACACGTCTTCCACATCTGGACCTTCCCAAATGTAGTGAAAAATACTCAGAGTTAAAGAATTTGATTGGCTTGTTCCTATCGATCATGCAATTTCGAGTATGAACAAATTCAATCAGCTGATCTTATCTCTATCTGGTGAAGCTCTAGGCACTGTTAGATCGTTTTAAGTCACCGAGGTCAATTATTTGAAAGCATTAGACATCCGAAAGATAGTATACGAAATTGAATGTCTAATATTCAATGAAAATATTCCAGCTCTGTCAAGCCTGCCGCATCATTAAGATCCCTGACTTATACAGTATCCGCCATCTATGGCTCGCTTCTGTCAATAGGTGATGACAAAAATATTTCTAAATCAATTCCCAATCACCTCGTTATGAAGAAAGTTGACCCAACGACCAGACGAAAATGGGAGGATAAAATCGATTATGCAATCATTCCATTATGGAGTGGTTGCGAAACAGCCTTGAATCAACACCTTTGTGCTGAAGAATCAGCAAAAGTTTCGTCCGATGGCTATAGAGTCAAAAGCTGTTTCCAAAAATAGTAATCGAGGTTCGTTTTCGTGTTCTGTGGCTAGTGTAAGAAACTATTAGGTGACCTCCAAATATTGAAATTGCCTTTTCCAAGGCCATTCGATCAGTTCAGCAGCGGTTTGAGTTCGCAAAGGCGGCTCCGTTATGGATCAATTCCCTTCGGAGGGGCACACTGTTGCCACATGTAAGGCAAACAAGTGCAGAGTATGCAGTCGTTCGCACCACAAACTGTTGCATAGATATTCTGCCGTTTCCAACATTCGAGCGTTACCACCATCTCTTGACTCCGTATTATCAACCATCGGATCTTAGGATATTAGGACCACTTCGGATTACCAGTCTGACAATACGGTCAATGTTAGAGCTAGCAAAATCTTTGAAAACCTAATGAACCAATTGGCAGATCCATATTTTCATAAGCTACAGAAGATAGACATGCTCATTGGAGCTGATACGTTCTTTGAAATTCTCTCTGCCATTCAGATTAAGGAAGGTCCGATTGTGCAAAATACTCTTGTTGGCTGGATTGCCTCGGGGCGTTACACGCCGAAATGTCGTGAGAAGACTCATGCTGTCAATCTGAGTTGGCAAGAAGAGTCTTATACCTCGATAGACAAAACGTTGCAGAAATTTTGGTCATTGGAAGAGTTGCCTTCAGCCAAAAAGGTCCGAACAGTTGAACAGCAGTTATGTGAGAGCCACTTTCAAGATAATTTGGAAATACTGCCGTCAGGTAGATTTAAAGTAAGACTGCCGTTTAAATCAGATCCCAATCAGCTTGGTAACTCCTTTGAGGTTTCTAAGCGTCGTTTTTGTCGCTTGAAAGACGCTGGTCTCGAGATCCTGAAGTTAAGCGTATGTACGGATTTCATGGAGGAATATTTAACGTTGCGTCAAATGTCTGAAATAGATGATCAGACTCCAAGTACTCCAGACTACTTTATACCGCATCAGTGTGTTTTAAGACCACAAAGCACATCGTCGAAGTAACGCGTTGTTTTCGACGCGTCCTGTCGGACATCGTCTCATATTGCGTTGAATGATCTTCTTATGGTTGGACCGGCAATAAGACTACACAAATATGCACTGACAGCTGACATCGAAAAGATGTATAGGCAACTCATGGTGTATGACGTCTAATTATCGCTAGATAGGTCTGTCGTCAGACAGTGAAACAAATTATAGGAAATTTGAAAGCAGATCGACTCCGAGCGCTCCACCCATTTTCTATCACTTGCGTTGATTTTGTGGCCCAATTTGCACAACTTTTCGAATGAATGGAAAGCCTACGTATAAGTCGTACATAGCATTATTTGTTTACATCGCCTGCAATGCGGTTCACTTAGAGCTAGTATCTGACTTATCAACTAACTTTTAATGGTTTCATCCGCTGTTGAGGAGTCCCACAGACCGTCCATTGCGACATCGCGACGAACTTCGTCGGAGCAAGTCGGCAGTTTAGGGACTTGCGAGTTTGAATTGAGGAAGAGGCGGACGCAATTCGCATCAAAAAATGGATACAAATTTGCGTTCATACCGCCAAGAGCTCCGCACTTCGGGGGTCTGTGGGAGGTGTGAAGTCTGCGAAGCACCTACTTCTACGGACGTTAGGCAGACTGGTGCTAGCGGCCGAAGAGCTACAGACGACTCTTCTCGCAGTGAAGCCGTGCTCAAATCCAGGCCCTTTGAAGCGCCTAGCCACGACCCAAGCGACGGCGAGGCTCTAATGCCAGGCCACCTACAGGTGATGGGCCCATTGAGGACTCTGTGGGATGAGGGGACCCCGGACCAGCTTGAATCGATGGTGAGCTGTGTCGTTGCTCAAGCAACGGTTTTGGCGTCGATAGTTAAAGGAGTTCTCGTACTCCTATCGGACCAAGTGGCACCATCGCCATTCAAAAAAAACGTCGTCGTGGGAGAGCTGGTGGTCGTCGCCGAGGACAATTTGCGGCGCCAGCAGTGTCTGGGGAATTTCAGAATTTTATTGTTGCGTTAGATGCGCGCGATGAAATGCTGTACCTAAGCGTAACTAAGAGTTAACTAGTAGAAGAAGTATAAAGCTGCAAAAGTAAAGGTGAAAAGCAACAAAGTACCGATCAAGCCTTTGTGGTAGTCGAAAAGTCTAACTGGGAAAATCAGTCAGACAAGAGTCGTAACAGAATTCGAAAAAATAAGCAGAATGAAGGAAAATGTTGGACATGCGGAGAAAAGGGCCATTTTGCTGCAAAATGTTGAAGCAGCAAGGCAGCTAATAGCGGCAAAAATAGTAGGCACAGGCAGGCAGAGAACAACAGCGATAATGGCAGGGTCGGTCGGGCGTTTGCTGGAATAGCATCGTGTCTGGGAATCGGCATCGGCATTTGGTGCGTCGAAATCGGCGCCATTTCACATATGTCTGCGCGACGCGAAGTGTTCAAAGACTTTGAGCAATGTCAAGAAGAAATAGGAATCGCTGGAAATAAATACATTTTGGCGCAAAGCCGTGGTACAGTGGTTTCCCTGAATAGAGTATTATATGCATCAGAGCTGCAATGGAATTTTATATCAGTAGACAAGGCAGTAATTACCGAATGCAAAATAAATTTTTACAATGAGTTTGCGAATTTCTATGACAAAGGGTTATTATTAAGGGCCAAAAAGTTCGATGGCTTGTATTTTTGTGAGTTAAAGTCACAGGATAAATTATGCCTTAGTTAAGGGAATGACGAACTGATAAAATGGCTAGAGCGCTATGGACCAGAAGTCAGAGAGGTATCTATAACATATTTGACTTTTGTTGAACTTCAGATAGGTATGAAGAAGAAGGCAAAAAGAAGTGATAATGGTAATGAATATTCCAACAAGGAATTTGACCTATATTTGGAGAGAATGGGTATAAAGCGGCAATTTACCACAATAAATATACCCCAACAGAATGGAGTCGCCGAAAGATTGAATAAGACCCTGCCTGAGATGGGACGTGCCATGCTGAACAGTGCGGAACGAGATCTAATAGGCTGAGTCTATTGTATGTGCAAAAATAGATCCCCAACTAAAGCTCCTTATGGTGTTATTCCGTGCGAGGTATGTACTGGGCATAAGCCAGTCGTTAAGCATTTAAAGGTGTTTGGATCGATTGCCAAAGCGTTGGATAAAACACAAAAAAAAAAGTTTCAAGAGAAAGGCAAATAGTATATAATGGTTGGATATGCAGAAACAGCGAAGGCATATCGCCTTTGGGACAAGCATACTTGGGAAATCGTGATGACCCACCACTTAGAAATGGTACTAAGTGATGAGGAGCAAAACGACGACTTGGCTAATAAAATTGGTAAAGTGACCTTAAGCCCTGAATCTACAGAGTCAGATGCTAAGGGCAGAGAGTTCGTGACGGATGGTGACGACTCTGTCGATAATGATGCAGTCATTATAGGACCTGGCCGACCCGGGATAATCAGATCGAGATTAAGAGGATGACAGTATAACATTTTAAATATGATGTATGGCGGCAATGTTGAAGTTCCCAATTCTGTGTGTGAGTGCATGGCGGGCCAACCGGCGCATAATTAGCACAGCGCAATGCAGGAGAAGTATAATGCCTTGATAAAAAATCAAACGTGGCGGATGGTAAAGCTCCAAGCAGGCTTAAAACCCATTAGCTGCAAGTGGATATTTACATTGATATTTAGGTGACGAAATTAACCACTATAAAGCATGGCTAGTGGCTAAAGGATGTAGTCAAAAATCTGGTATTAACTACGAGGAGACCTATTAACCAGTTGTCCGTAATACAACTATCCGTATGGTGTTAGCTATGGCAGCCGAATATAAGTGGCATGTACATCAACGATCAATCAATGATGTGTCAACAGCCTATTCGAATGGTCACCGTAAGGAGGAGGTCTACATGAAGCAGCCAGAAGATTTTGACGACGGAATATTGTGCGTGGTAAAACTGAAGAAGTTATCGTCTCAATGGCCTGTGTTTAGAATGAAAAGTACGATAAAGTTTTTAGAAAAATCGGCTACAAGGCGAGCGAAAGTAAGCTTATACACAGAGCCAACAAAGAATACTATCAACGTTATAGCTGTTTACGTTGACAGTTTGCTGATGGCCTGTGCAGACTTTGGTGAGCTTGTAAGCGTTAAATAAGCCATTTCCTCTACATTTCATGTAGTCGACAAGGGGCCCGCATAAAATTTCTAAGACCTTGAGATCCAGCGCAAAGGGAGAGTGGTGCAATGCTAGTTGGCCAGCACATGCACATCAGCCGCCTGCTGGACATGTGCGAGTGCCGAAAAATACCAACGCTTCAGCAAATTGCAAAAGGGTTAACGAGACGGAGTATCAATCCGTTATTGGGTCGCTGATATACATAGCGCTGCCATAACGTCCTGATACCTTTCAATCGGTGTGCAAGTTATCACAGGGGAACAGTTATCCTCACAGCGAGCAAATGGCAGCAGCCAAGTAGGTACTACGTTATTTGCACAATACCATAGACCTAAAACTTAACTACAAGAAAACTGGAAAGGCCACTTGTGGGTACTACGCGAGAGACAGAAAATCGTATACTGGGAATGCATTTATCTGGGGTGCATCTGCAATCTCTTGGGCATAAAAAAAAAAGATATCTGTTGTACTAAGCAGTACAGAAGCAGAATATATGTCTATATCCGAAGCTGCTAAAGAAGCAATATATATATGAAATGAAATTGTCACTTTGTCTTAATACAGTTGTAGTGTACGGCAATAATTTAAATGAGATGAATCTTGTAGAAAATCATGTTTATCATGCTAGAAGTCAGCATATTTAATTTCACCAAATAAGAAACAGTAACGGACAAAGTTATATTGATTTAAAATATTTCCCTACAACATATTAGCTAAAAGTTTGCCAGCACAGAAAACAATACAATCGCAACTGCAATGCTGTTGATAGAATTGAAAAAAGACGCACATGAATGTGTGTGTGTACATGTATACAGAAATTCTTGGAATTTGCGCTAGCTGCTGCTAACACGTGCGCAGCTAATACACATAACATTTGTTTGTTTCCTAACCGATCTTAATGAAATTTTCGACGGTACATCTTATCGTGCCATAGAATATTTGTGTATTCTCAAAAAGTCAATTGCATTAAAATTGTAGCTTAAATTTGTGGGCAATACAATTCGGGGTGTTAACTTGATTTATAGCTTTGTGGTGGTGGCGGGGAGGTGGCGATAGGTATAAAACGAAAGATACTGAAATATCATCAGAGAGAATTCTCAGTTGAGAGTGATTGACGTGTTTTACTTATCCTCCAAGATTTTTATATATTTTTGCGCTTTAATCCTTCTTTTTATTTCTAAATTTTGCAATTTTTGCGCTCTATTTAAAAAGCTTTTATAACTTGTACAAAGTGCTAACTGTTGTGCAGCGTACGTCTGTTAATTTTTGCAATTATTGAACGCAGCGTCAGTTTCGTGTTGTAATTGTCTGTCTTGATTCAATTGTTTTGGTGCTCCCCTGTGCATACACTTGTTTGTTCGCTGGTGCATATTTCTGCTTGTGCATCGCGCTCTCGCAAATTTTTGCTGTTGCCTTTCACTCCAAACAATTTGTTTGTGTACGAATAGTTATTTTGATCGTTTGCTTGCTCTATTTTTGTGCACCTTGTTTCGTTTCACTCTGCGCTCTTGCATCTTCTGCTTATCTTCTAACGCTGATAGAAATTATGTGGTGCTGTAAAAAACCTTGCACTTTCAAGCAGGCTAATGATTCTGCATTGCCGCAATTTGTTAATTGCTGGCTGTGTGAGAATATAATGCATGCTAAATGTGCAGGTCTCACTGGGCGTGATTGCGACAAGATCGCTGCAATTGCCAAGAAGGGCTGCGGCGGCTTGCGTTGGGCGTGCCCGAATTGCATCGACAAACAAATTGATTTCTCCAGAATGTATAATTCCGTGAGCTCGAGTAGCCTTGACTCGAGTAGCTTTGACTCGAGTTTTGAGATGCTTAGCAAT